AATTGTTTCAATTTAGAATTTTTTTTTATTTTGGTTATGCAATACATACAAGCAGAACAAATAAATGTCCTTTCATGAATTTAATGATGAAAAATCCTGAGAATCATCTATTCCATAGTTTGAAAAAATAAAAAATAGCAAAGTAATAGTTAATAAAAAAAAGAAAAGACTAAGAAAACTAATAAAATTGAAAAACTGACTTTAATGGATTCATGTTATTGAGTTTTGCAAATATTGAAACCTGAAGAGGGTTTTCTTTACTATATTGGATTTCTTTCCTAATCACACTTCTGAGTATAGATGATGCACCATCTTGTTAGGTTTAGAATCAAATATGACTAGCACAACAAACAAAAAATGTCCACTGGGTATCATGAACTTGAAATCGGCTATGTGATTGTGATAGGAAATTCAACAGTCTGTGAGGTTTACATATCCATAAGGTATGCTGGTGCAGGCAATGCAATTCCCTTATTGGAGAATGTAAGTCAAATGATTGGATTATGAATCCAGATTCTACAACATCAGCACCCTGGAGAAATTCCAAGCAAGCCAAGAATCCAGTAGCCCCTTAGGTAATCAGAGAGCTACTTGGTCAAATCTCAATCAGGAGCTCTCATTAATACTTACCAACCATCTAAAGGGCCCCAGTAAGATCAGATCTTTCTGCAGAATTGTGTACAAGGTTTTTCATGAGTGGTTTGGTGCAGCAACTGTAAGAGGGGACAGGAAAGAAGAGAAGCAACCAAATAGATTAACCTTCTGAATTTGTTGTCTAAGGACAGAGCAGAAAGTTGTGAAGCACCAACTCATAGAAGCTCCAATTCAGGAGAGGGCAGGCCTTATGGACCTGCTTAAGGATATTAAAGAATCTTTGGTTCTCTGCTCTAGAGATCACTAAGAAAACATTTTACAATAATCCTTATGCTTTTGTTAAACTGTTCATAGACTAAAAGCAGCAAACTTGACATACCATAGGAGGAACTCAAGAAGACCTGAGGATGATGTATTCTGATAATTGCAAATATGTTCCAATCCCTCCTATGAATGACCTTCCTAGGTCTCAAGATCCAGAGGTCATGTTTAATGACAGCAGATTAAAGCTGAGAGAAATTTGTCCACAAATCCTGTGCCGTTAATGCACCTGGAATAAAAGAGAATATCCTACAAGTTATATAAGAATTGTCCAAACGTCCTCCAGCAATTTATCATCCCCCTCCAGCATGCATGGAAACAAGGTATTGTGCCACAAAAATGGTGCCTGGCAGATGGCATTTGGATATCTAAGGGAAAGAATGCAAAAGGTATTGCAAATTTCCACCCCCATCTCTCTCTTGAATGAAGAGGGAAAAATATTTTTTAGCATCCGTGCCCATCGTATGACGGACTTCCTGCTAGGTAACTATTACATATACACAGCTGTCCAAAAGTTTGGGATACCTGGCTTCACCAGCTGTCTGGAGCATTCACACACGATTTGGAACTCAATCCTATCAGCTAAATAAAATAAAACTGAGCTTCATTTAATTTGGATTGATTTCATGAATGCATATGGATCAGTTCCTCATGAGTTAATTCAAATGCCCATTTGAATTTTTCAATTTCCCTAGTAAGGTTGGGGAAATTATAATGAAATATATGTAACTACACCACCAAGTGGCAAGCCCTTGAGATGGGCATCATTATGGGGTACCTGATTTCACCACTTCTTTTCATTGTCGATAGAACTCATTATTATGGAGTGCAGCAGACACAACAAAGGGAGTGATGACTAAGGAACAAATGGTCCTTCCAGAGCATTCATGGATGACATCACCATTTTGGTCTAAAGTCTGCTGCAGTGCTACCATAAGCTCTTCACGTGGGCGAGAATGAAGGCTAAACCTAAGAAAAGCCGGGGGTTATCTTTACTCAGAGGTTCTGCCAGCGAGATTCACTTCTGTATTTGGGGTGACATGATTCCAACAGTCAAAGAGAAGCCAGTGAAGAGCCTCAGATAGCTGTATGAAATTTCACTGATAGATTGGCACAGAGATAAAGAGGTGCAGAAAATGACACTAGATAGACTTGAATCCATCAACAGAACCCATCTTCCTGGCAAACTGAAGGGAAGGCATAGTTTTCTGCCTTGGTTTCTGTGGCTGTTGCAGGTGTATATTACTCTGTCTCGCATTCAACAAACAACAGTATATCAACAAATACCTGCACAAATGGCTTGGCTTACACCCCTGCTTCTCCAGCGGGACTCTATACGAATGCCGAAAACCTGCAACTTCCCATCTCCTCATTGGTGGAGTACAAGGTCAGAAAGGTATGCCTTCACATGATGAGGGACTTGGATGATGAGTACATCCACAGGATACAACCCGATATCAAAACTAGCACCAAATGGTTGGCAGTAGAAACCACCCAAGAAGCAGAATCCAGCCTGCAAACCAAGAGATTATGGGGGGTTATCCAAACCAATTGAGCTAGCCTGGACAGTACAAGCAACCAGTTTTTCTCCAAACAGGGTCCAAAGGGAAAACAAGACATGGTGATTGAAGAAATCATGAATTTCAAGGAAGAACAGCGAACAACTAGTGGTGTTTCTCAATCCAAACAATGTGCTTGGACTACATGAAAAGATATTGATCTGATGAAGCTCTCATGGAATATCCTGATTACAATGGAGCTGAAAAGGGGGGGCCAAGGTATTTCACACATTGTATGTAGAAAATTTTCCCCCCATTACAAACCATCAGTATTTCACTAATAATAAATTTCAATAATTAAAAAGACAAACTTATAATAAATTCCAGTGAATAGCCTAACATAAAAATTTCCACAAGTACATAAAATTACATTGTTGGCTGTATTAGAGCAAAAAATAAATAAATAAAAATAAACCCTTGAAATTCAGTTACAGTAGGCGCATGAGAATTTATGTCCCACATCTATTTTTGTACTGAAAAGATTTTGAAATAAAAATTCCAGCAAGAATAATCTAAGAGTTTCAATCTTTTTACAGCTGCAAAATTTATTCTCTTATCCAACAAGTGAAATGTAAGTCATTTTTCTTTTTTTTTTTTTTTTTTCCAGATTTATATTATCATGTAGGCCTATTAGAAATGCATACAAAATGAATGTTTTTTTTTTAGTGGATTTTGTCAATTGCTACAGCTTTTAAAGTTTATATACTATGGGTTCCTTGGCATTGCTAGTCTGGTTGGTTATTACTGGATTATCATGGCCCTGTACTGAAGTAAGCTAAGCTTAATAAATAACTTAATAGATTTGGTTTCTTATTTTCAAAAATAAATAAAACTTCCAAGCACACAAAAGAGAAGTTTCTTTCTTGTCAGTTTGAAATTGTTTACAAAAATGCTTAGCTTTAAACAGCTAAATTTCAGAATGTTTTACCCACAAAATTTCCTTTAATTCTGCTTAACTTTCTTTATCCTACCTTCAACACTTCTCATGATTGAGATTATAAATTTGAAACTTTCTTTTAGCCTAATAGAAATTGCATTTTTTGCCTACAAGAAAGGAGAGGATGTTTAGGTTTTTTTTTTAGGTTATGTACACTATTTAAATTATTCGGACTATTGCCCTCATTTTTGTCACTATATTTATTACATTTCAGCTGTTGTACACTCTGGCCTTCTTCAGGTGGTTGGAATGTCAAATATGCTCGGCCACATAAATCTCCTGAGCTGACCAAGCATAGAAATGAATACAATATGGGAACCAGTAATAAGGAGTGCCAGAGAAAAGCAATAATAACAACAAAAATTGCAATATGAGCTCTGGTAAAAAACTGAAATGATAACGGCAAAAATTGCAATATGAGCACTGGTAAAAAAGTGATCTTTAGGTATATAATACCCAGAATTTCATACACAGATGCCCTCAAGGACACAGAGTGGATAAAGGTGTTAGTCAGATCCAGTGACAGGACCCAAAGAATACGAGTTCAATACCTGGTTAAGGCAGTGAAGAACTTAGGGAAATTAACAGGTGATAACTGACATCCATTAGATGTGAAACTAGAACAGTCTACCCCGGTGAGCAAAATAAAGGGTTCAGTTTGACATTCCAACCACCTGAAGAAGGCCGGAGAATACAACAACAGCTGAAACATAATAAATATGGCAACAAAGATGAGGGCAATAGTCCGAATAATGTAAATAGTGTGAAAATTTACAATTAAAAAAAATTTCCTTTCATATAAAAAATCTTTGATTTTGGAATTTATTTTAAATAATCAGTATTTAAATAGGAAAACCAAAATTTATTTTTCTTTTATAGAATTAAGCTATTTATTATTGTGAATTGCCATTTCAAATTATATTATCTTTGAAAGAAAAAAAAAATTTTTCACTTTGCAAGATCAATTTTTATAAGATGGTTTTCTAATCTACTGAAAAATTTAAATATATATTTATGTAATTATACCATGTTAGTAATGACTAATGATTGCTTACTTCCTAAATTGCAATTTGTAACATACAAATTGAATGCCAAAGATTGCTAAAACAATTTTTTTGAATTGCAAGATTCACAGCTTAATTCCCCAGATAATGCCTGAAATATGAAACAGCAATAAAGTCAGGATATTTTTTAAAAATACCTGCTACCCCCATTGTCAAAATTTCTTGCATATGATTGTATCTGATACATAATCCTTTGATTGAATGAAAGTTGAAACTGTTTTACTTAGTCTTACTTGTGATGTCAGAAGTTATATAAAAACTGCCTGAAAAAAAAAAAAAAAAACAAAAAAAAAAAAAAAAAAAAAAACAAAAAAGAAAAAAAAACAAAAAAAAAAAAAAAAAAAAAAAAAAAAAAAAAAAAAAAAAAAAAAAAAAAAAAAAAAACAAAAAAAACAAAAAAAAAAAAAAACAACAAAAAAAAAAAAAAAAAAAAAACTTGGAAGTTGTGGCACAAATCAAATATAAAAGTCCTTTTCTCTTTGTGATCATTTTTATTAATAACATTTTTGCATGTGACATATCCTCCTAAATAGACATTTTCTCATCCACTGCAGCCATTGTTACATCTGCTGGCTCTTCTTTCTCTTTAACAGCTGCTTTGTTGACACCTTTTTCTTTACTAACATGAACATGATTGAATAACCAATCTTTAATTACTTGTGACATCAAACCATGAATGGCTTCAATTGTAGTTTTACATCTAAAAGAAAAAAAAAAAAAAATAAATAAATAAATAAATAAAAAAAAAAAAAGAAAAAAATTAGAAAATCATTATAAAGCAATGAAAAGGAAAAAATACAATTTAATCCTGCATGGTACAAGTTTTAAGTCACCACTTGCCCTAAACTTGAATGATAAGTTGATAAAATTTAAATGTGAAATGTTTATCTAGAGGGTGGTCTGAAACTCGTCACCCCTACATAATAATTTTTCTATTTCAGATGGCCGACATGAAAATGGTGGCGTTCATACATACCCTCTTGATACATGACAGCATCAATGAAAGTGAATAAACTGAATCCAGTACATGTGCTTTGTATTACTGGTTCAGTTGTTCTCATTACTTTTTGGCAGGGGTGACAAGACTTTCGAACCTCCCTGTATATAAAATATACATATCTTAAATGGCAGAATGAAATTTGTATTGAAGTACATTTTTTTTCTCAGTTTTATGGAAAATGTTCAGTTATAATAGGAAAACACTTAATTTCAGAAGGTCATGGAACTTTAAAATGTAAAGAAAAAGAATTTTATAGAAATTACTTTTTCTCAAACACTTTCTTTAAAATCATAACTTTTGCATTGAAAAGAAGTGGAAAATGAATATATCTACTTCTAAACATATCTCCTGATCACATTAAAATGGTAATAGAATAATTTAAAAAAACTTAAATTAAAATTCAAACATTACCAAATATTGAGGAGTATATTAACGAAAAAAAAAAAATGCCTGAGATTTTGCTTTCTACAGTTAAGAGAAAATTCAGTTAATGAAATTTCATGTGATTGAAACTTAAAATTCCATTCCCTCCTCACTCAATACTTAGCATCCTCTACCTTTCAAAATAAACAAGGAAGTGATGAAATGTTCTTCACAAAATCTGACCAAATGAAATTATTTTTTTAATTCCTTACTTTGTAAGTTGTTCACCATCTACTCATAAAATATGGCATCTTAAGAAAATTTAGTTTGACGTTTATAGTTTGTAATATTCATCATAACTATTTATATACTTTGTATATTGAAATGCAGAATAAAAAATTCACTTAAACTATCGTTGTAAAATATTTCATACGTTTCCATATATGTTAAATCCCAAATTTATACAAACATTTCATAATTATTATAAAGAATAAATCTAAGAAAAACGTTAATTAAATTAGCATATAATACTTTGATACAACAAATCTAAAATAATGAAAATAGAGAGAGAATTAGTCATAACTTCAGAAGAATTATTAAAATTTCAAGTTTTCTCTGAACAACTCTGCATTGCTGAGGTTTTCATTACATCATCAGATGTAGAATTGAAATGTAGTTAAAATAAATGATTAGTAATATACACAAGATCAGTTCTTTCCATGCAGAAAATGTTATTTATACGCAGGAATGTTTCTCAACTTCTCTACTTGAGAAGTAAAGAAAACAGGCTACTGACTTATGCAATTAGAGTCCACAGATATATGCCGGTGGCACTTTATTAAAAAAAGGTGCTAAGGACATAAAAACTTGCCATGAGTGATGATACAAGTTTCAACTAAATTCTACAAAATATTCCTCAGAAAAATGATTACAGAATATCAATCAACAAATTGGAGGAGACAACATATATGGCAAGCTGAAAAGATGCTGTTAAGTTAAGCTAGACTTAAACACGGTGGTTTTATTTTCTTATTAAAGCGCGAGTTGAGGGATTCCTACATATAGAATTATAAGAGTTACATGGGTTGCAATGAGTACTACTATCTACTACTGCTAGAATGAATTAATCTACAATTTTTCTTTTCTTATAAATTACTAGCAGTAGAGCCCAGCGTTGTAACAGTAAGAGATAGATCAAGTATTGAACATCATAAAGACTGAAAAATAAAATTAACAAAGATTATTGTTTAAGGTTGACAGACACGCATGTCTTAATTAGTTTTTTTTTTTTTTTTTTGTTACGAATTGGTCAAACCCAAACAAAAACATTGTTTTCAATCGTTATGAGTCTACCGATTGAATAGAATTTTATTATAAACAATTGTCTTGTAAATGGAATTTTTAAAGCATTCTGAATGTAAAAGTAAAGAAAAAAGTGTGCAAGGCAATAAGAAACACTACCTGCCAAAAAAAAAAAAAGTGAAGTTTTGTTGAAATCGGTTGAAAAATGTAGGAAATCCGATCCCATATATAAACGAACACACACACATAAACAACCTGGGTTTTATAATAAGTATAACTCGATATGAGTTGTCCCCCTTTCATTCTGGTGACAGTGATGCCTCTTAATCATGTTTTCAAATTGATTTCATGCAAAAACAATTGTTTTTCCAATTTTTGGCACAGTCAGAACCACCGCAAGGTAATTTTATGTAGTCTTGTGAAGTTTTGTTGAAATCGGTTGAAAAATGTAGGAAATCCGATCCAATATATAAACGAACAGACACACACAACCTAGGTTTTAAAGTATGATTTACCTGAAGAAGACTGTAGTGTGAATCAGGTAAAATAGTAATAACTAGGGATGTACTCAATGTCTGACAAAGTTTATCGTAATATTAACAATTCTTCAGGTAAAAAATCTTTAATAAATGATCTAAAGATTCAAAACTACAGATTAAGTTTACCTTAGATAATACTGATTTATAATATGCTAAACACTTGCAGGAATAACTAATCTATGCTTGTAATGAGACTAACTATGAGGAGGAAAAATATTTAAGATTGGCAACTACACACAAATTTAAAAAAAAAAAAAAAAAAAAAAAAAAAAAAAAAAAGAGAAGAAGAAATTAGATAATTTTAATAACATTTTCAGCAATTATTCAGAATTGCTGAATTTTCCATGGAATAAATTAATAGAAAATTAGTTTATTTGGGAAAATCTGTTTTTCTCAGTTCAGTTATATCCACTCCTTACTACTTGAATGAATCTTTAAAATGATTTTTTTTTTTTTTTTAGATGTACCAAATAATTTTGATACAATCAGATAACTTTTGATTGATTTTAGAATTAGTCTCAAGTATTTTTTTCTAAAGTTTGAATGTTCAGTTAAAGTGATTCTAAAGTTCTGTCATATTGACTGAATGTTTCCGAGTCTTGCTTAATTCCTTTCATACACCAATCTCATATTGCATACCAATTGGTAGCATCTTCAATGATGAAATATAATCAAGCTGAAAATCTGACCAAGAAGGAAAAAAACATTTTAATCAGATTATACATTAGTCTAAAGTTGTGTTTGTGTCAATTTGTTGATACAGTTATATTTTTTTTAAATACTGAATTAATTTCTTATGAAATTTATTTATACATTTTGAGATTTTGACAACTGGAAACGTTACATGAAAGTAGATGAAAGTGATGAAAGAAAATGAGTGACTTTTAATCATGAGAAATGCCAGCTTAGGGGAAAAAGTATTAAGATTCATTATTTAAGCATACACACAAATACACATACATGGATTTCATTCTTTTCAGATCTGACAAAGCCTTAAATGGTGAAATGCATTATCAACTATTTTTATACAAATATTTTTCATGAAGCATTTAAAAATTTAAAAACTGTCAGGATTTCTATATATTAATTTGAAGCATTTACTGTCGTTAAGGAAAACGCATGGATAAACCAAAAAGCAAATCTTTTACTTTCAACCCATTCTGAAGGATTGTATAAAGATTTGCCTTGGATTCGTTTCAGAAAATGCTAAATGAATTTCTTATTTTTGAGACATTCTGATAATGAGGAAGATTTGCCTTGAATTCGATACAAAAAAGCTGGGAACGCGGAGGAGTTACCCACGCCCACTGAGGAGCACTAGTGGGAGATGGTAATAACAGAAAGTGGAAGTAACCAGGTGGGGTTATGTCTGCACCCATCACTCATGAAAGAGAATTCCCCAAAATTATGAAGTAATTTAAATCTTGGGACCAAAAATAATGAAGACGGCAGGAGGAGGAAATACAGAATTCTCCAACTGCGCCATGCCCCATGCCAGTTTGGATGAATGTCAATAAATACAAATGCTTCAAGCCGAGAAGAGAGTTTGTTCCTGCCACCGGACATGAAACATTCCATGTGACTATCTGCCAACACTGAGAACCTGACACCAGCCTTGTGCCAAACTACACAAAGACAGAAAAAACAAACTTTGCTAAACCAACAAACAAACTTTGCCAAAAATCACCAAAGTGTCACTTCTGAGAACTTTTAAACTATAAATCAACTGCTGTACAAAGAACTGATATAAAGTTATGAATTATTCTTTTTATCCGAGCGTAATTTTAATTCATTATTTTCATTATTCAGACTATTGTCCTCATCTTTGTCGCCATATTTATTACAAGGTTTCGGCTGTTGTACGCTCTTCAGGTGGTTGGAATGTCAAACTTAACCCTTTATTTCGCTCACTGGGGTAGACTGTTCTAGTGCTATGTTTAATGGATATCAGTTATCTCCTGTTAATTTCCATCTGAAAGATCTCCACTGCTTTAACCGGGTATTGAATTCACACTCTTTGGGTCCTGTCACTGGATCTAACCAATGACTTTATTCACTGTGCCATGTGTCCTTGTGTATGAATTTCTGGGTATTATAAACCTAATGTCTTCAGCAATCAATTTTACCAGTGCTCATATTGCAATTTTTTACTGTTATCATTGCATGTTTTTACTAGAGTTCACATTGCAACTTTTGTTGTTATCGCTTTTCTCTGGCACTCCTTATTACTGGTTCCCATATTGTATTCATTTCTATGCTTGGTTGGCTCAGGAGATTTATGCAGCCTAGCATATGTGTTGATTCCTTAAGTTTATAAATTTTCTTTGTCTATGATCTCAACCTGATCCCACAGTGATCTCCCCTCTCTCTCCATATGTGGTCAGCCACGCCCGATTTTTCCACTTCCCCTATTGTTACAGTTTTCTGGTGTTGTTGAAGCCTTACCTTAAGGGGGCGGCCTGTCTCCCCTATATATTTCTTTCCGCAGCTGCACGGGATAACGTACACAGTCTTTAGTCATGTTCTCCTCTATGAGGCGGGGGGGGGGGGTCTTACTTGGGAGAGATATCTGCAAAGTGTCATCAAGCTTTTGAAGGTTGTCCTGATGTTATATGTACTGCAGATCCTTTGTATTTTCTCTGATAACCCCTTCACATAAGGCAGGCAGACTGTTTTCTGAGTGTTGTTGTGCTCCTCCTTGTACCCACCTATCCCAGTTTTTGGGGGCTGCTGCCATGTACCCAGGGTAGTTGTTACATTGTAGGGTACCACTTATACTGACCAATTCTTTATCTAATGTCTCTGGGTCGCTACTTATGACTTTTGCTCAGTGTCGTAAGCAGCGGATGATCCCTTTCTTTACGCTGTATGGATGGTGGGAGTTGAAATTGAAGTACTGTCTGGTGATTGTCGGTTTACGGTATACAGATGTCTTGAACCCATGCTCTGTTAGAGATATTAGAACATCCAGGAATGGGAGTGGGTTGTTACTCTCTTTCTCCATTATGAACTGTATCAGGGGTCTTATTGAGTTCACATGGTCCAGTAGAAACTGAACATCTTCCTGGTGTGGCCAGAATATGAAGGTGTCATCTACGTACCTTAACCATATAGTTGCCTTTAGAGATATAGATTCTAATGCCATTTCCTCAAAGTATTCCTGTATGTATTCGCCATTGCTGGTGATAATGGTGAGCCCATTGCTAAGCCCTCATCCTGTCGATATATGTGTGATCCCATTCCGAAGTGTGTTCTTTGTGTACAGAAAGTCAACATCTCCATCAGATCATCTATTGGAATACTGGTTCGTTCTTCTAGGGATGAGTCCGAGACCAATCTGTCTATGACTACTGAGAGTGCTTCCTCCATGGCTACCTTGGTGAACAAACTCACCACGTCCAAGCTCACCATCTGGTTAGATAGGATGGAAGCATCTTTGATTATTTCCATGAAGTGGGTGGAGTTTCGGACATAAGAAGGAGACTTTCCAATCAATGGGTCAATTATATCTACAAGGAAGCGACTCAGAGGGTGGCACACACAGCCTTGGCAACTAATAATCAGCCTGAGCGAAATACCGTCTTTGTAAATCTTAGGGAGACCGTATATGCGAGGTAATTTGGTGTAATGCTGTGATAACTGCCTATACGTCTTGGGTGCGAAGTGATCCTTATTCTTGATTAGTATCTGTGACAATTTGCATTCCGTTTTCATTGTAGGATCCTTTTTTACATTGCTGTTGCTACCATTGCTAATGAGGTCTTCCAGCTTTCTTGTATAATCTTAAACATGGCACATGGAACTAGAACAGTCTACCCCAGTGAGCGAAATAAAAAGTTAAGTTCAACATTCCAACCACCTGAAGAAGGCTGGAGGATACAATGGCCGAAACATTGTAATAAACATGGCAACAAAGATGAGGACAATAGTCCAAATGATGTAAATAATCTACATAATACCTCATTTCAGAAATATAAACAATTTTAATTTAGTTCATCATCACCTTGTCTGGACTAACCCAATGCAAGTGACCCTGACAACGATTTGATCTTGACCGCCTTATGATCTAAAATTACAGCATGGGATAAGGCAAGATTTGGACTGAAGCCGTTACTACTGTGACCAGTTGCCGTTGTTGCACGTCTTGGACAACCAGAAAGGGAGTGGGTAACAAAGAGGTTGGAGAAGAAATTCAAGAATAACAAAAAACATTAAACCTCTTTAGTTCAGTGAAGCGTAGTAGCATTGGCAAATAGGATTTCACCTATTTGCATATGTTGGTTACTGGATAAATAAAGTGTAGAGTAAAGAGTCAGATGACAGCAAGTTGACTACTGATCATGTGTGGTAAAACAACACTATACAACAGCAATCTTAGAACTTATTTGATAAATTCAAATTGTTGGTTTAAGGCAGATATAAATCCTAAGTTAAAAAAAAAAAAAAAAAAAAAAAATTCACTTACCCATCCTTGGTTGCTTTTGATAGCTTATCTTCAGATTTCTTTTCAAAAGCATCCATACCTAACATAAATCCACTACGACCAAGTTGAGCTTCAGATTGTTCAAGTTTTTCTGATAGATCAAAGATCTGACCAGTTGTATATTCTGCATTCTGTTAAAAAAAATTATATACTCACAAAAACAAAAAGGTATATACAAATATATATTTAGCCTTTTACTCTTTCAAAGTGCTATTCTATGGCTGGCTACTACTCATTTCTGAACACAACTTCTATGCTTCATCTACTGAGATTATTGGTTGCTATACCCACAATGTTTTAGCTTTCTTCAGATATCTGTCATACTTGGCAGTGAAGCTGATAATGTAGTGACTCTCTGGGATCCACAGATAGTGATTTGAGTGGTTCCCAAGAAAATTCAGTGGGTCCCAACTAAAGTTTCTTAAATTGTAATGTTAAACTGCAGGTCTCCAGACTAAGTTTTTTTTTTACCATTGTCCCTAAAAACAATTTTAATTTTCCTGAATCACTTAAACTGCAGAATGACAGAATCGGTTTCCCCCCACCCCAAATTGACAGTACAATTAAGAAACTATTTTTTTTTTTTTTTTTTAAGAATTATGACAGAACAATTTTTTTTTTTTAAATTAGATTAATAAATTGGATATGCTGACTTAGCTTCCTTATAAAAAGTGAATTGGATTAAATGAACTTTTTTTTTTTAAAAAAGTTAAGTAATCTCCCCTGAATCAGCTTAGAATTTTGGGACTAACTCATCAATTACAAATTTCCATCTGTATGATATAAAACTGAAAAAAAATATTTTTTCTGTAACAACATAAATAGCACCAAAATAAATTATTGAATAAAATAAAGGTAAGTATACTGCATGTGAACAAAACAATGCACAAATTCAAATAAAAACAAAATTTTGGCTATAGCATAGCATCAAAATAAGTGCTGATTTTAACACATGAACAAAATATTATCGCTATGACAGTCTACAAACTGTCAACAAGATCTTTTAGTTTGCAAATAATCAATTGATAAGAAAATTAACCCAATCAATTGCTATAAAACATTTAGCATAACAATGAAACTTAACTAAAACAGGAAAGTATGTTGAAAAAGATCAAATGATGCAGATACGTTTGTGGAGTAGATTCCTGTAAATAAACTCAATAACATACAGCTTTCTCCGTTTGACACCTTTTTCTTTGGTCAATGCCTCTTCAAAAGGGAACTTTGACCTTTTGGGGCCCAGGCTGACCTTAAGAAACTGCTCGATATTCCAATGACAATGAGGGGTAAGGATGAGATTCTGAGCAGAGAACCTTCATTCAGTCAGCTATATACACAGCCAGAGTAGTTGGCAGTTGAGCAAGGATGGTGAGGTCGAGAAAATCTTTTAGGTGATATTTTATCACAAATACCAAAGGTTTTTACATGCTGTCCTTATTCAGTGGGTCCCACTCCAGTCAAGACTGAACAACATTGTTGAGGGGCTGGGTAGTCATCTGGTGATCCTCTCCATCCTCAATCCATTTGTGTGTTTGCTCATGTCCATAGTGGACAATTAGAATTTCCAACTCCTCCTCTCCATACACCTCCTTCTCTTCCTCACACATGAAGCAGATAGGATAGAGACTCAATACACCAAATACAAACAACAGTGAGGTCTTTGGAAACCTAAAGTGCAAGTTACTTATCAAGTTGTTGACAAATTTGATGCAATTTTAATATGGCCTTTTTAATCTGATGCTCACATTTCTACATGTCCTGGATGTCTCTAGCTATACTGACAGGTTGGGAGATATCCAGATCCTTAATAGCAAAATCTTTTATTAAAGCCACATCCACATTTTCTGATAGCAGGAATTGGGATAAGACTGTAACAGTGGCAATGACATCCATCATTAGAGCACTGATGCTGATGAATTTATCTTAATTTTTTTTTTAGGCTATTTATTTTTCGGTATTTCCTGTAATCTGCCCCTTATGATCCCATGCTTATCACTTTGGTTAATGGTATTTCTAGTTCCAACATTTCCTTGATGCATTTTGCAATTTCTGCAACTGTTGTATCAACACAGTCTTTACTTGCAACAAAATGAGTGCTTGGTTAAAATGATCTAAGATAAATAATTTGGACATATACAAGGTATTTGTGGTTGGTTATGTCTGTAGATTCATCTATAAGTACAGTCATAAATGGGGATTCATTTACTTTCATTTTTAGACCTGCGTTCAGAGTGTCTGCCATACTGTACATAAATTCCTCAGCTATATATATTGTGAGCTGCATGCTACTAATTTTTGCTGAGAGGTAAGAGATCTGAGATTCCAATCTGTCAGAAAGCTGTGTAGCTCAAACTCCTTACTGGGTCATTAACTGAGGGCATTTTTAACACCACCAGAACCATTTTGTTCTGCTGTCTATTTCACACTTTTTTGCAGAGCAGGAATATTGAGGCAGGACTGATGCTCTTTGTTTAAAACATGGTGAATAAGGATGGAGTGCTGAAAGTTGGTGCATTTGTTAGAGATGTGCCCATTTTGTTATAATTAGTACAAATGTCACATTACATGAAGATTTCATCCGACAAGTGAAATTATTTGTATTTTGTAAGTCACTGCTTGATAAAAGTTTGCTTTCTTTTGGAAGATGAAGGGGATTGCTACTCTTCTGCAGTTGACTCATCAGACTCAGTAAAAGTGGAGGCAGACATAGGTACAAGCTGCACTGAATTACTCTGAGGATTGATCAGACTTTGGAAGAGGGTCCCAAGTAGAAAAAGCAGAAAATGCAACTATGATGATCAAGGCTGATGCAAGGGCCCCATGCCCCCCACCCCGAATCAATGATACGAGGCCCCGACCACTCTACACCATCTGAATTTTCATGAGGTAGTATTCATATAAAATACACATTTTATTGTTCGTTTTATAGCATATCAACCCATTGGGTCATTTAATGTCATAATTTAAGGTTTTTCCTAAATAAAGCCTTGTATTTAAACAGTAAGACTGTTGTTAGTCATCGTTATATTTTTGAGATCAGTTTAATTTCTCTTAGAAACTGGATAATGTAAATTAGATCAGTATTTTGAAAAGTCCTTTTAAGTTTATTGTTTGGTAGTATTTTAAGCAAGTTGAATTAAAATTGTTGCAGTTTGTCAGTATGTTTTATGGTGAATGGCTCTTAGTATACCACACATACTGGAGGTTTTGACATGCCTGTCTAAGATATTTGATTGTTCGTTTCAAGTTTGTGTATGAGGTTTTGGTATTTAAAGGGTCTGATGTATTTTTATATATATTTCTTTCTGTTGAATTTGATCTATCACTATCTATAATACCAATATGGCTTGGTATCCAGCAGAAGACAATATCTGTATATAAGATAATGAGCCTGTTGAGTAGTTTAATGATGAGTGGGTTTGACATTTTTGGTTTTTCAGTGCTATTATCATTGACATGGAGTCAGTGTATATAATAAAATATTTTAAACTAACTTGAATTTATGATGTCAAGTGCCAATAGTTGTCACCTCAGCACTAAATATAGAAGCTTTGTTGGGGAGTGGTTTCATTAATTTGTGATGGATGAACATCCAATTTTATCATCATCTTTAGATTAGTTTGCATACATGGACAGGTGCTCTGTCTGCATAGACATCTTTGGAGAGTAAATCTTCATGGAATGTTATAGGATTAGTTTTGGATTTTTGTAACTTAGTTTTAATAGGACGTTTGGTTGTTTTATCATCCAGGAATGCGTTTTAGAATTGATGGACTCAGGGATTTATGCTGTACTTAGTTGTTTTTTCAAGGACATTTTTCATATATATACACCATATGGTTTGATGGGGTTGTCTTTTCTGTTAAAGAGATCAGTATTGGATGAAATATGCATGCTGCAAGTTTAACATAGTATTGAAGAGCCAATTTTTTTTTTCATCATATTGCTAATAGAGGTTCATGTGCTTTCCACCGGAAATGTAGTGAAAGCTCATAGGGCTATTCTTAATTCTTGATAATGTACTGTGTCGAGTTCTTTTGTGTAGCTTTTTCTTGTCTCAGCATATATAAAGCAGCCAATTTGGTCAAATTAATGAGCAGTATATTTTGAGCAATGATTCTTTGCTTGCTTACCAGTCTTTGTGAGCAATAACTATATAAATATAACTACATAAGGCAATATAAGTGAACAATTCAACTAGAAACAATATCTGCAAAGTACTCAGTAATTTAATAATAGCAACAGCATTTGTTACACATGTAGGTAGGGAAAATAAAGTAGTTCATAAACTAAAAGGTATTCCGCCTCCAAAAAATGGGTTTCTTCTAAAAATCCAAGGTTTGGTTCAGTTTAGTTTTACAGTTTATCAACCTCAATGGGTTATTTAATGCCGACAAAATTTTTATTGTTGGTAATATTTTTATTTTTTTTTTAAATCTATTTCTGGTAATATTTTTCCTTCAAAAATTCTATTTATAGTAATAATTTTCTTTCAAATATGTATCACTGGTAATATTTTTCTTTCTCAAAAAATATATAGCTGGTAATATATATTTTTTTTTTTTTTTTCAAAGATATATTGCTGGTATATTTGTTTTTCAAAAATGTATTGCTGGTAATAATTTTTTACAAAGTATTTCTGGTATTAAAACCTATTTTCACACTTTCATAATGTTTTGACCCCAGTTACAATTCCATTGAATAAAGTTTTGCATCTTGATTATGTATTACAAATTATGAATTTTTACATGACCAATTTTTTTTTTTTTTTTTTATATGGGTGAAGTGTCCATCATTTCTATATACTTCAGACCATTAGCGTTTTGTTTCTTGTTATGTTTTCTTCTTTGAAATTTTGTTTCTACTTTCTTGTTTGATTTTCCTCCCTTAGTTTTACCATTTGGTTCTTTTAATGAACTTTGTCTAGATGATGATCTTTCCTTTGTTTGTGATGGGTTAGAGATTTGTTCGTCCATGTCCATTTTCCTTGTTTCTTCAATAAGTTTCGTCATTTTTTTTTTTTTTTGTATCTTTTCATCCTCTTGAGAATGTTTCTATTTCTTGGGGGTTTTTTTTGTTTGGATTTTTCAGGTTTAATAGTTTTGTAGATGCAGAGTCATTTTTGTTTCCAATTGACGATATAGGGTTTGTTTTTTCCATTAGGTTCTTTTAATGATCTTTGTATAGATGATGACCGATCCATTGTTTGTGATGGGCTAAAGTCATGTTCCTTTATGTCCATTTCTCCTGATTCTTCACTAAAAGTTGAGTTATTTTTTTTTTTATGTACCTTTTGATTCTCTTGAGAAGGTTTAGAGGTTTCTAATTCTTGGATTTTTGTACTTTGGTTTGGAATTTTCAGATTTAATTGTTTTGTACATGTAGAGACATTTTTGTTTGAAGTTGACGAGACAGGATATTTTTTTTGTCTATGGGCGTTTGATTTATGAGTGATATACATTTTAGTAGTTCTACTAAACTTTTTAATTTATTAATAAGAGTTATAAGATCTTGACTTCTTAATACATTGTTTTCTTGGATGACTTTTTTGTTGATTTGATATTTTAGTGATATTTGCATATGATGCTTGAAGTGAATCAGATTCAACCTGTTTCCTGGCTTCTTGGAAGGAGATATTTTGCATGTATTTTCTTTTAATTATTTCCTTTTCCTTTTTCCAAATGTTACATTCTTTGGAGTCTGCTGAATCATGTTCTTTACAGTTTGGACATAAAGGAGGCCTTTCACAAGGTGATTCATCGTGATCAGTTTCCGGTTCCCCACATCTTCAACAGACTGATGTTTTCATACAAACATTTTGAAGATTACCAAATTTGACATTTATGACATCTACGGGGATTACGAATGTATGGCTCTACCTTGGCTATTGTGTAACTTATCTTTATTTCTTTTGGTAGAGTCGGTTTGTCGGATGTCAAAATATATGTGTTGGTGTTTATTACTGTCATTTCTTTTCATTTGCATTCTTTTAACATCTGTTATTCCTTGCTTTTTTAGGGTGTCATCATTTTCAATTTCTTCTGGTGAACAAAGTGACAGTTCTGGGCATTTTATTACTCCTTTTGATGAATTAAGAAATTGATGGGGGATAGGCCTTGCTTGATTTTTAGCAATTTCTCTGCATCTTTTTTGGATATCACTTGAATTAATAGAGTATTATTTTTCTTTATTTTTTTTAACAGATTGTGGTTTGATCATGTCTGAAATAACCCTTTGCAACATGAAAGGAGACTTTTGATATATCGCCCTTTACTGATTCTACAACAATGAAAGTTGGAAATTGATTTTTTTCTATTTCATTTTCACTTTCAGAAGTCTCATATTGTCTCTTGGTTTACTTATAAGAGATAGCCATATAATTTTAATTTTTGTATTTGCTGTCTGTGCTCCCCATGGAGTTCCATCTTAAGGGAAGCTATCAGGGAGGATTAATTCCATTCGCCCTAATCCACCAAGGCTATACAGAAAGTATAGTCGTGATGAGAGTGGATACGAGCACCTGCACTCCCTACCATATCTACCCAAGTATAGTATGATGTAAGGTTTTGTGGCCCTGTCGAACCCATTATCTATCATCCCAACTAGTCCTTGTGACTAGCCGATTGGAATGGATTGGGCTATTCCATCCGCCAGTCTATCCCAGGTAGGGACCGAAGTGACGTGTTGTGGAAACTCCTGGTCATTTTATACCAGATCAGGAGTCACTCAGTGACCCGGACACTGTCCCCAGGCATCACAGGTTGCCACCCATGGCAAACGGGTGGCCCCATTTAGGGGAAATTTTAGTTTTTTGAAATTGGGTTTTGTGAATGAGCACTTTATATACTGCAATTTGTGTTGATGGTATTATTATTACAAAAAACCCATTCTTACACTTTCCTAGTATTCTGACTCCAGATCAGGGTGGACCCGGGAACAACAGCAACTACGAGGCGGTTCAACGCTCCTCAAAACCTCCTGATCAGAGGCCTTGCTGCTGAATGCAGTTTAGAGCCATACCAAGGACACTAAAAATCCAAGGATCTCTAACAAATGTAGCAATTGGCAATTATTTATATGGGATAAATAACCCAAACTTTTTTTTTTTGGAAATCAACTGTTTTGTAAATGCATAGATATTTCAATCAGCCATAGAAGTATCTGTAAGCATGACAGTTAAATTTTGAATTACTCTAATATACTAAAACCTCTGATTAATCCATCTGTGTCAGTTTTCTGAGAGATAACTCTGGTAAGATTTTAAGAATTTTGAAACAATTGGCTACAGTTTATTATTTTAGAAATCTGTCATATATATATGTGTTGATTTCCATGCCAATGAGAACATGCTACAAAATGAAGTATATATTATCACAGCTAATTATAACGAACATGCTTGTTAGTTAAAGTGTTTTCACTAATTGCTTAAAAAAAAAAAAAAAAAAAAAAAAAAAAAGTAATATATTTAACAACAAGAATACAAAGTATGTTTAAAAAAATTAAGTACTAACTATCATTATTATCTATCATAGTTCATTTGACAAATGATTTGCATTTGGTTCTGGAAAGAATATCAATTACATTTTAAATTAAACATGGATGCATCATTGACCTGATGTCCTTATTTACTTAGTATCAACAAACAACAAATTACTTTTACTATCTCATAACTGTTATGGTTTGGTTGTGTGCATTATGTCCTTTTTCATGGAAAAATTGGTGCGTCACTGAGATGCAGGATGTGCACCTGGTAACCTTCTTGGATTTTGAACCAGGAATCTAGAAATAATCCACCAGGCCATTTCTCTTCTTGGACAATCCAGTAGTGTAATTTTGGAATATTAAACTTAATCTGTATTTAAGTGGTGGAATTTTTAAGTGTCCCTTCTTAATCAGAGGCATTTAGATGGTGTTCATCTCTATGCTAGATCTGCTGAGAAGGTTGTCAACCAAATATGTACAGCAGTTCTTTCAGTCATTTAATCCTCTAGTGTTGTTCGCTTGTCTATTATCATAACTTTATTCCACAGGAATTAATGACCACCTCTTTTCCTTGATTTCAATGTCTCTCCCTTGGACAACAGCTTTTCAATGTTCTTCCATCCTTAATTTAGGAGAGAGACAGCCTTTCCTTTGTATTATTTATAACTACTGCATAGGTTAGAATCCACACAGTTCTTGGTCATGTTATTTTCCAAGAGAGGCTTGGTACAAGAAAGATATCTCCAAAGGATTGAACTGCTTTTGAATACCATCCTAATGTATGGTACACAAATCCTCCGAATCTTTTAAGATATATGATGGATAAGTCTGTGACAGATTTTTTTTTATTGCTGTCATCAGCTCTTTTGTCCCAGCTGATGTTATGCTTGCAGGATAGTATTTAACCTCAATGCTGATCATCTGTTGGTATGCATTTAGGTTTGACGCCACGTTATAGGTAGTGGATGGTAGAAACTGAAGTTCAAGTATTGTCCTGTGAATATTAGTTTATTATGTATGGATATCCTGACCACATACTATGCAAGTTATTAGCACACTAAATTTTCCTGAGTGATTCTTGTCCATCCACCACTGAGATGTGCATTTTAACTATTTAAAAATTCTAGGTCATTACCATTAATAAACAATATAAATTCACCATATGAAACTATTTAGGAAAATTACATACAATTAAAAAAACAATTCAAAATACTGCATCTTGGTACCAAACAAGTTCTAGACATGGTTGCAAATGCACATTAAATCAATTCTTTAAAGTCATTTAGGATACTTGCTAAATACAAAAGGGTAAATAGCAAAACATACTTTTAATTGAATTTTCATTTATAAGAAACAAAATGATAGACAAAAAGAAAAACTTACTGCAAGAAAGCTAGATGAACTAAGAGTATTAACCCAATATTTGTTCCAAAGAGATTCTAACAGCTTACGATCCAATGAAGACTTGAAATAAGATACATCTAGAGAATAGTATTGTTTACAGTGTACACCAAAGTCTTCAATCTTATTCAGAGGAATTGACTGATATTCAGAAGGACCTTCATCAGCTGGTCTATAACCCTGAAAAAACAAAAAGAAACAAAAATTATACAATATGGATATTATTAAAACAAAAATGGGTTAAATATGAAGCACCACTGAAAATTTTTTTAACCTCATCTACTTCCCAAAGTCAGTAATGTCATGTTTAAAATTAGAGCTTTTTTGTTTTGCTTTTTAGTTTACTGTAAATGAACATCTTATGCAGACGTGATCATAATTTGGGGAAACCATTATCAATAACATTGTCACAAGAGATTCCTAATAAGTTTTTCAATTTTAATATAGTCACTGCTCAAAAAATATCAATTTAAAACTTTTAAAGTTTTTATTTTATTTTATTTATGCAACTATTAAATTGATGAATTCAGATCCATTTTTCCAGTTTATAATTTATTATGGCTTAAATATAGGGCATCTATTAATTATCAACTACAAGAAAGATATTGAAATGTCTGGAAAAAAAGACAGAAAATATTATTGAACAAAAGGTTATATTGCAATTATTTGAGTTTAATGATTCTTTAAAAACTCACCTTAGGATAAGTACGGAATGCACCCATATTTACTTTACCAGCAGATATAGTTCGAACAGGATCCACCTAAAGGAAATAAAGTAATAGAATTAAAGGTGTAAATGTCTTAACATTTCATTTAACATTTTCACAAAATATATACTTTATTTCTTCAAAATAGGAAAAGATACCAAATTACAAACTTGTATCCTGAAAACTAAATCCCATCTAAAACATGAATTATATATAATTATATCTCCTGAAGGCAAATTTCTGAAATAGTTTGTTTTGTTTGAATTCCAGCCTTTAATCTTTAATTTTTCATAATCCACAGTTAAAACCCAGATTCCAACTGCTTTATTACAAAAATTATGATACTGAACACATGCAAGCACACTATTCTCTCATAAAGGAAAAAAACGACGAAAAAAAAAAAAAAAAAAAAAAAAAAACAGAAAACATCTTAATTCCTACTTTTATTATTAGTTTGAATTTTCATCACTAATTTATATAAACTTAAAGAATATTTATGATTCTCACTCACTAAAAATTCTAAGTGACAGGCTAAAAACAATTTTTTTCCTAATCTTTGTGATGTGATTCAAAAAAATGTGATTGCATAAACAACATAATCCATTTTTAGCTATTATCTTATGTAAGCTACTAATGTAACTTGTACTTCAGTATTCTTTGCTTTTACTTAACATCACAACACATTTAAAGCTGAAATACCCAATGGTTTCCCTGCATATTGGCTGTTATATAATGAGAAATATGAAGACTTGATTATGTAACAGTTTTTGGTGATTACATAACTTGTTAACAGAGCGCTTTTTGCATTTAGTTTGTAAATTATGACTTAAAACAGAAGCAAATTATGAAATTAGTTACTCAATGTATTTTGGTTGTAACTATAGAAAATTTTGCCAGAGGTTTTTGCTTGCATCGCTGTTTTTATACCATCTCGAAAATACCAGATAAAAATCACAATTTTCTTTATGGTTCACACCTGTTCGTTCAGCCATTATACCAACATGATAGTTCTGATCACAACAGATGCCAACTTTGTCTATGCACATAATAATCGTTATAGATTCCTCAATGTCCATTGACAGAATGAATTTTATCCATCCTTGTTTTACTCAATTTGAGTGTTATCATTTTCTGCTGATAAAGCTAAATGTTTGCTCATAAATTTTCTTCCAATTCTACTTAGAAAAGCTTCTACTGAGTGACATGCATATAATTCTGTACATCTATCATCTCTAAACTGGATATTCACAAAGCATTTGATGGTATCCCTGCAATAGTCCTAAAGAAATGTGCCCCTGTACTTGCTAAACTTTACAATAAATACCTTTTGCTTCTTAGAAATAATTTTTACCTCCTTTTGGCAAAGTCCTAAATGCTCTTATCAACTCCAAATTGGTTAAGCATCTCACCTCGCAGTGTCTTTCAGATAAGCAATATGGCTTTCACTTCTCTAGGTCGACTGCTGGTTACTGCTGAAAGAGTCTCTCAAGAGGGCGAAGCTTGGGCTGTTGCTTTGGATATCTCACAGGTGTTTAACAGGGTTTAGTATGCTGGTCTTCTTCACAAGTTGAAAGGTTATTATGGCATTTCTGCACAAATTTTCGATTTGATTTAATCAATCTTATCAAATCGCAAAATAAAAGTTGTCTTGAACAGCTAGTCTTCTTGATAGTTTCACATTATGCTGATATGTCCCCTTAGACCTACTTTGTTCCTAATTTTCATCAACAACTATCCCAATGTCATCAGTTCTCGACTCAGTATCTCCTGTCTTAATGGTTTGATAAAATACCCTACAATCTGTTAATTGGAATATAAATGGTTTAACGTTAATGTTTCCAAAACAAAACTGCTCTCATTTAGAAGAATCTGCAATGTTATTGGCTTTGACCTGGCTAGTCTCCACTGAAAAGACTAACTGTCTTTATACACAGTAAAGATTCAGTTTCAAAAATTAAGTGTGCTCATGATAATAGCTGCAAGCAACATGAACTATGACAAAACCACTGCTGTCTCCTATTCCTTTGCTGTTTTTAAATATGTTAATGAACTATTTGATATACAAGTGAAAAATGTTTGAAATGATGAAATAATGTAATTAAAAATAAATTTATTTTTAATTACATTGGACAAAATCTGCTACAAACTTTCTCTTGACACGTGTACAAGTTGTAGGAATGAACTTGGGAGAACCATCAAGCAGATGCAACTAGAAGAGTTACAAGTCATCAAGTAATAATGAAGGGTGTCATGATATTGGTAGAAGCACTGCCTGGTAAGACAATCATTAAATGTTTTTTTATCTGAGTAGGAATTTGTCACTTCTTGAAATCACTGGTGCTGGGAAGGATTGTGAAAATGTACTAAATGTTCCTGAGACTATCCATACACATTATGTTGAACCACATGCAGATTGGATCATGACAAAAGTGATAACTAATAATGATAACCCCACAATACATTCACTAACCAAACTAACTCATTCAAAAAGAAAAAAAAAAAATGAAAGAAGTCCACAGTAATGTTGTCTTTCGCCTTACCTTCTTTAAGTATCAACTTAAGAAAGTCTTTAACAGATTTTAGTAAAAGAGGAATAAATGTGACAACTCATGTGAGAAGGACTAACAGAGTAGAATCTTAAAGTGAATGGTTAGAAAGAAAAGTGTGCTTCTGAAAAAGATCTATTAGTCCAACCCAAATTAAGAAAATTTTTTTTTTTTCACCTTTTGTTTAACTAGTTTAACTTAGGAAATGTAGCCCCCTACCACTTACTTTTTTGCATTCCTCTACATTTCCATTTCCCAGATACCCCCAAAAAATAAAATATAAAAAGGACATAAAGTGAGCCAAAAAATTAGATTAAAAAAAAAATTATCATAATCTACACTAGACAAAGTTATTTCAAAAATATCTGGTTGGAGGAAAAGTTCTTGCAATTTACAGAACATTAAATCTATTTAGAAACTCCAAGAACTTTCCTTCCAACCAGCTATCTAATCTGTTTTATATATATATATATATATATATATATATATATATATATATATATATAATTTGTATCCTAACTAAATAATATTAATATCAAATAATTTCGATTAATATTCATAAACATTTTTTCTCATCCAAGTTATTTAAAAAATAAATTAAAATCATGTAATTTCCATTCTTTCATATTTTCAAAGTTGTTACAGATCTGGATAAGTTTTATATTTCCACCTTGTTATGTTGTAACTTACATAAATTTGGGTTTTCTTGTCTATGATGCTAAGTTTTATGTATTTTGTGCAGTTTAATATTTTACAATTTATGCTTCAGTTAACATACATTCAAACACACTCATAGCAGTTAAGTCAAGAAAAAAACTGGAATGTATGAAAAAAAAATATTTTTAGGTATCAAAAAGACGTTTTTAAGAAAAAAAGATTCAAGAAACAAATTTAACAAAACAAAAACATTTGAGCTTGTAGCCAGTAGATATATTTATACATAAAATGAACAAAGCAGATACTGGAATATCCAACCTTACATTAGATCATTCCATCTTCAAAAAACTTTACAGCAGAAACTTTAATAACTCAAGAATAGCACCATTCATTTTATCCCATTAATAAACATTCCCTTTATAAATTAATTTCCACTGTTCAATTGAAAACCTTAAATGCAAGCATTAAAATACTTATTTTGAAGTTGTTGTATTTTGTTTTTATTCAAATAGTAAATTTCAAAATGTTCAAATATTTGATGACTTGAAATAGACATAATTTGGTATAACTTTACACAACAATTGCCAACTGTTAAAAAGCAAAGCAGATTTTGAATTTTTCTTTTTTTTATTATTATTAGTGCTATACTGACAGACAGTGCTTAAAAATGTAATCTATCCAGCAACATGGTAACCAAAAAAAGGTCATGGCTGACATGATCAAAGGATAGGTCTATTATATTCAGTAACATTATGTCATCAAGTGATATTGTGATTTTGATTGTGAGAATGCACATAAAAATGCCACCAGTGAAACATTTGCAAAGTGTATGGGACATTACAATCTACATCAGAAATAAATGTTTTTTATCCCATGTTAAATTCCTCTATTTCCATTCTACATCATGAAGAAAGCAAGGGCTAGCAACTACCAAGCAGTGATGTTTTTCTTATACTACAACAACAGCTGTTGCACAACATATTTATATTTACATCAAACCAAACTTTCCTTTATAAATTTGAATATTGAATAATAATGTTAATTTAACCATTACTATCATGAAATACATATTTCCTTGGTATAATAACTAGAAACTTGTAAAAAGAAATGAAACTAACCACAATGGCAACAAATGGTTCTTGAAATTGTTGATTCAACATCTGGGTACTGACATCAATTCCAGAGAGCCAGCAGCCATAACCAGGATGACTGTGATACCAACCAATCACATTTTCAAGACGACCAACCTGAAAGACATAATGGAGAAACAAGATTGTCATTTAAAAAAGAAAAAAAAGTGGGGCTAATATAGAAGCATTTATAAAATAGATTACATATAAAAAGCATGTAATTTACTTAAATCATTCATAATTGATATATTAATAGATATCCCAAACTAAAATTTATTTTCAATATATTTAAAAACATTTAATACAGAGAGGACAAAACATGAAAATGGTACCAAATTTATCTTGGTAGATCAATTGTGTTCTCAAGCAAAATAGTTAAAACATGACAGAGGGCAATTTCTTTCTAGGATTCATAGAACAGAGATAAAGTTTAATGTTTTTTGCATTAATAAGTCAATAAAAAAACTCATATTTACACCATATAAAAACAGCCAGAAGCATAGTTTGACAATAAGGTCAAAAGTATACCATCCTGAACTTGCCACAAAAAGTATCCATTATAGGTACATGGCTGAAACTTTATTAATTTGGGGATGAGGAATTCAACAAAACAGTTCTATTCTCTGTAATATGAAAAATTTATAAAATTATGCAATGTTTATTTTATTAAAAAGGGACAGTTTAATAACTACAAAATTTAGAAAAGTATTTCATGAAATGAATCATTGGTCAATCCTTCAAACAAATACTTATTGGAAAGCGTTAAACTTATTTATCTTCAAACTAAAAAAACTGAAATTAATAAAAATATATTTATTCAAACTGATGAAAAATACTTTCTGGACAGTTGGAACAGCCCTCCTGCATTTCCCTTCTAATGATGATTTGTAGTCCAAAACTGTTTATAAAACTAGTATTCCTGGAACACTCCACATCCTATTATCACTTTAAAGTTTATCATATCAAAGTCCCATCTAAAGACAAATGCTAACAATTTAAAGAGATGAGAAATAAAACTTATCACACACAAAAAAGACATTTTTTGCATACTAATTTTATCAAAATAGCCTCAAAAATAAAAGATATCAGCAGTTGAAATGCAATAAAATTTCACTATTTTGAGACTTTTTCACAGTATAAACTAATGCAGTTTGGAATACCTACTATGAATATGTACAAATGCACAAATTGATAAAAAAAAAAAAATGTATACCATAAAGCCTCTATTATATGAAGAAAAGTAGACATTATTAAAATTTATATACCAATATAGAAAACTATGACAATTATATAAAAAAAAAAAAAAAAATCACTCAATATTTGAAAAGAAAAAGTGCAGCAATAATCATCAGAAATGGTAACTAACCTGTTTAGAAGATTCTGTATAAGCTGCCATATATTCATAAGCCTGTGCTTGTGCATTAACTCTAGTCTCAGTGCCTTCAACTGGAGCAGCAAAACTGTCCATAACAAGCATTGTATTGCCATCTACTTTGCCAAGTAAGAGTCCCATCACCTCAAGATTACCACCAGAGCGAGCATGCATGACCATCTTTAGGAGAGCCAAAGCAGAGATTTTTATATATTTGAAATAATGTGGACTGAAAAAAAAAGAAGAATTCAGAATATCAATAGAAATATAAAAGTCTAAATACAATCAACAAAGCTTTTATGGTAAATTATAACAAAATTATCAAGACCAGAAAATAACTCATTCCTTCTCTTCATAAAATTGTCAAATTTAATATAAACAGAATTTTTTTTAAATTTTCAACTTTCATGCCATATCTCAATTGAAAACAACAATACTAAAATCAAAGCTGCAACTAATATTAAGAGGTAAGTGAAATAATTTTTTCTAAATCTCCAAAATAAATAACAATAATGAAAGAAATGCTGAATAAAGGGTTGATATAACCTAAAAATTTGACTAATCACACAACTGTTATCTTACTGCATTAATGAGATTGAATAGGATCAAGTCTTTAGAAAGTAATTTAAACAAAGAAAAAATAAAATAGGAAACAAGAATGTAATACCTCTGACATAGGTGTAATGGGTCAGAGGCTGGAAACAAAAATTAATAAGCATATACCAGCCAATATTCATAAAGGTAATTTGGACAATTTGCATAAGTGCATTAATACAACTGGTTCAGCAATAGTTGAATATTTATTAAACAGCCATCAATCCCCAGTCCTATAACTAAGACTTGAGGAAGGCTCATTTGAATTTACACCTGAAGGTATTTATACTAAGTTCTGCCATCTCACAGTTCTAAATTACTGCCTTTGACTACTTTTCCCTATCAGAAGAGTAATATGATCATTCTATAGCTCTTAAATTCAGAAGAAATTAAAAAAAAAAAAAAAAAAAAAAAAAAAGAAAATGCATTGGGTACAATTAGATATTTTATGACATCATACAGGAACAAAAATAATCAAAAAATATAAATGTATTAAACTCAAAAGTATCATAAAAATACTTATTATAGGTACCTTCACAGAAAAGTAATACTTATGGTTTAAAATGAATTTTTAAAAATGAAAAATCTTTCTTGAAGCTTTTATTATGATTTTAATTTCAAGCTAATAGATTAAATTTAATATTTCCAATAACCAAAATACTTTGCTGTATTTCAAAAACAATTTAAATTCGCTGGAAGGTGTTTTCATCTTGAAATTGCTAAACATTACTGATTTTAGTGCTCTTTTTCATCAGATTGTAATTCCCTTTATTTAGGTACCTCCATTTTTTCACAGAACAGCATAGCATGATGAAAAAAGGCTCTAAACTCAATAAAAGCGAAGTTTAGTCATCAAAATGTTTATGCTATTATTAAGAGGAAAGACCAAATTATTTTTTAAATTATTTTTTGAAATTTTTTAATCCTTTCTAGCACATTGGAAATTTTGGTTAAAAATCTGGTTTAAAATTCTTTCAAAATTATAGATTTGTGATACTTTATTTGAGTAAAATTAGAAAATTTAAAATTAAATTAGTCTGATTTGAAACAAATATTACTTACTTATAGCATAAAAAAACAAAAACAATATTCAACCATTTCTTAATGATGGGTCCCCTCTTCCTTTGATCTTTATTAATTTATTGAGAAGCTCTCAAGGTGATGACACCTCTTATGGATGACCAGAAATGACATTTATGAAATCTAAGTGAATGTATTTTTTTTTTAGTTTTTAACTACCTAGTAATTTTTACAAATTATCATATTTTCAGCAATTATTTAATATTTTATTGACTTTTAGTTAGGTTTTTAAGAAGCTTTATGAAATTTGCATTTCGTCTCAAGGTTTACTACCTTAAACAAAAAATTAATTGAAGTATGACCCAAACTAAAATAAATACATAAAATAAAAATATTTAGTGAAATAGCAATTAAGAAGAGCAAAACTTTTTTTATATTTTGAAAGGATGATTTGCAAAGACATTAATGATGAAACAGAACTGAATTAAAAGTGAAATAATTGCAGTGTCAGACGACACTTAAATCACGTGACCTTTTTAAGGATTATGTCAGGTTTCTACCCATAGGTAGAAATTAGGAATGCATTTTCACTAAAAATTATTTTTAAAATTATTTTAAAAATATTTGGGTACAAATGACTTATGAACTTTTCAAATTTTGATTTGTAAATTTACTTTTAAAATGATATCACCAAATTGCATTCTTGAAATCGATGAAGAATTTTATAGTTTTTGAACTATTATATTATAATTGAAATTTTTAAAAAGTGAAAACATTCTTGTAAAAATTCATTATTCATGGAAAAATTTTTATTTCTTCAGACAATAGTGTCCTTAATATAACTTATTTACAAAAAAAAGGAATTAAAAGCTTTTCTAATTAAATGTCATATTGCATTTTTTATTTTACAATTCAAAGCAGATTCTCAATGAAACGGGTAACAGTTTTACAAAAAAAGTTGATTTACTTTCTCCAAAGAGTCCTGTTTAAACTAGTAACCCCACTCCTTAAAAATTCAATTTCTCAAAATTTCATGAAATTATGTAAGTGGGTGGTAACCTATGTAAAAAAAAAAAAAAAAAAAAAAAAAATTCCTTCAAGCCTTTTCTTTACTTTGTAATTACAAGTAAAGACTACACTTATCCAAAAAAAAAAAAAAAAAAAAAAAAAAAATTACATTGCTTTACAGTACACAGCTGTTTGAGGGTTCATATAGCCCTGCTAAGCTTAAATAAAGTCAATTCAGGTATGCTGGTAAGAATTTTCTATCCCAAGTATAAATCATTACAAAAATAGCAAAAGTCATTTTGTCACAGCCTATTTTCTCTGGAAAAAAAAAAAAAAAAAAAAAAAAAAAAAAGGATATTCATACTTTTATAGTGGTAAGATAAGGTAAAATATTGAAAAATGACAGTTTTGTCATCATCTGAATAAAATATCAAAGAAAATTTTGATCTGAACCCCATGAAACTAGGTATTTTCTGAAAGCAAACAGTATGTTCTTTCATTTAAAAATAAAATTGGCTGGTGTAATTGAGTCAAAAAAAAAAAAAAAAAAAAATGTTCAGGGGTAAAATGTGAAAAAAAAATAGTGAAAATTTTGCATTTTTTTTTATAGTTCTAAACAAAAATTTTCCACAATAATGGGAAATTAAACTTTTTTTCTTTGAAAATCAGAAAGCCTAAATCATAATCAAACAATTTCAGCCATTAAATTGAGAGTATGAAGCAAAACAAAATTCTCAGGGGGTCAAAAATAAGGCAAAATCTTCAAAAATTTCACTATTCCAATATTTTAGTCCATTATCTGGTGAAATGTCATAATTCTATGAAAGTAGGCATTTTCTGAAAGCAAACAGTATGTTCTTTCATTTAAAAATAAAATTGGCTGGTGTAATTGAGTCAAAGAAAATTTTCAGGGAGTAAAATGTGAAAAAAAATAGTGAAAATTTTGCATTTTTTTAGAGTTCTAAACAAAACTTTTTCCACAATAATGGGAAATTATCTTTTTTTTTGAAAATCAGAAAGCATAAATCATAATCAAATCATAATTGGAAACTGTCAAGTAAATGCCACTTTCCAAGGTTTTTCTCTTTCAAGTCTGTGGGACATGAATCATTTTGAGATTGCGTGACAAAACACAAACACTGTCACCAAAAAGGTGCTTAACAGCACAAGGCATCAAAGGAAGAAATGCAGACAAGTCAAGAATTTTAGATTTTTAGAAAAAAACAAAAAAAAAAACTTTTTTTTCAAATTGAATGTTTTCATGACAAATATTTTTAGATTTTAAAAGAAAAAGACTTCAATGAAGCAGATGATGATCCTGCTTGAATCAAATCAATGCAGCTTCACACTCAGTTAAGAGGATCCAGATGCAGAGGGTTCATTCAGCCAAGAACAAACACCACCTTTGTAAAATTTATTACAAGCTTTACACTTTTTGGAAACAGGGACAACAACCGAATCCCATCCGAAAAGAACAGTGACAGGAAGTCTGCATATTTTGAAACTAGAGTCCTGCATGCGTTGAAAATCTTCCCAAAAATTTGACATGGCCTTCATTTGGTTTTCATGTGTATCCTCAGCTGCATACAAAGAATATATTTTACATGAAAATGCTGACCCACTAATTTTTGGAGAACAGACAGAGAAATGAAATTTCATGCTCTTGTCTCCTTTGTCACCCGAAAAAAGGATAAAAACTTTGCCTGCTTGACTGAAACAGTCACCGTCTTTTTGCAGCATGCTCTGAATTCTTTGAGTCATATACTTAAGCAGATTCTTCACCTGGGACACTGGCACCTTCACAAGTTTTCTTTCATCATCACCCTTATTTTTTGTGTCCATTAGTACAATTTTGGTTTCAAGTTCACTTTCAGGGCAAACAAGAGTTTTCTCATGAGAACACATGGATAATTCTGAAGGAAAAATTGTAATTCCATAGGCTGCCAGGGTGGTTTTCAGACCTCTCAAAGTTGCCCAAGGAAAATCAAGACAAAGTCTAAGGTTTACCACCTGAACAAGTGTTAAATGCGGCCAGATTTTAGATTTGAGGCATTCAGCTACAGAATTTTGGAAAACATCATTTTTGTGGTGTTGAATGTGGTGTCCAAAAAGCAAACCAATTTCATGTAAATAAGTTTCTTTGTCAGCGTCTTTTTCATCGACGCCGGAAATTAATGCTGAGACAATATGCAACATCTTAGCTCAGATATGCAAATTCTTAGATGTTATTTTAGAATTAGTTTTCTGTGCAACAGGTAAAGAAATAAAAATTCTGTCCTTATGGCTTTCATCCCAAAAAATAGATCTGGGGAAAACTGATTTTTTGGGATGAAAACTAAATTGCTGGTTTGGACCTTCTTGGACTCAAATCTATTAACCATTGTTCAATTCAAGTCCTCAATGCCTTCCACATCACTTTTTCTCGATTGAATCCTGGAGTATTTTCGATTTTTTCTGAAGGGCCTGAGTTGTCTGTTGTTTTACAGATAATTGAGCAGAATGTTTTCTCTTGAGGCTCTTATTTTCAGCTTTAAGATCGGCAATCACCTTCTCATGATCAGAAAGAAACTGCTGTAATGTAAGATTTCGGCTCTTCAAAATTTTTTT